TCACACTCACCTCTCTGGCCGTGTGACTGTCCTAAACTACCCATTTCTCCTAATCGTCCCTTGCCAAAGTAGGAAAGTCTTGCTTATGATTCCATAATAATATAGCTCCACAATCCTTTGTCTGAAGTTCCAAAATCCAAAAAGCTCTGATCACTGCATGGTTTTTTTTGTAAGTTTGCAGGGCCAGCCTCTCCAACCAAGACCATCAGGAACCTACTGTAGTTGAACAAAGGTTTACTGACTTGTTGCCACAAGGGTGTTCTGATAGGTCCCTTTCACTCTGCTGGAGTGTGAGAGACTCCTGCTCTAGGCAGGTGAGATCAACAGCAGTTATTAGCCACATATACTCACAGAGCAGGGAGAGGACAGCACAGTCCAGGCAGGGCCACTCCGGTGTCATCAGGAACAGAGTGAACCAGCTGGGGCTGTGGGCTGCAGGCTTTGTAGTAAGGGAGTGGGGCGCCCCCTGGTTCCTCCAGGAGGAGGCGATTGGCTTGTTTGAATAGTTTCACAAGCTGGCAGGGAACTGAAGCCCCTCAGATTGCGACTGGGGTGGAGTGCAGCTGGTCTTGCTGGTGGGGGAACTAGCTGGGTGGGCAGCCTTTCCTGCTGGGTAGGGTGGGGGGCATATCCAAAAGGAACAGGGGAACTCAAGGGCCCTGTGAGGCTCAAAGATGTCAAGGCAACCCTTGAATTTTCAACTCTTACGACACAGTGGGGAATCCAGGGACATCTCACAAGAGAGTTATGTTAAAAAGACTTTAAGGATAGGGTTTTGGCCCATGTTAGGTGACTGGGGGTAGGGGGTGTTCTGGATTGGGTACTGTCAGGAACCAGGGCTAATTCTGTGATTGGATATTGTAATCAATCTTATCAAGAAGGCAGAAGGAATGGCACAGATAAAGTTTTAGTTGGTCAAGAAGCAGTGGTCACTTATATTAGCCAGGATAGTGGGCTATCTGGTCACGTTTGTGGTTTGGACAGTATTCTTATTTTTGTCTGAGTTCAGACCTAATTATGACTGATCTTATCTTGGCCTTTCATGGGAGCAGAGCGGCCCTGTTGGTTCTGGTGTTCTGTGAAATTGTTTATGTCCACTGGAGTGTACCAAGGCCCCCTTAAGCCAAGTACAGAGCCTCTGATGCTTAGCCAGTTCCTGCTCTCAGGAGCTGCCTCCCCTTGGCCCCCCCACCCCATAGCTAAGGGTGGATGAAGGCAGTCCTCAGAACACTATGTACTATATCCAGAGCTTTGTTAATACCAGGTGTTGCTGGTCAGGAGGGTGTTCAGAGAACGTTGTCATAGCTGGGCTGCAATTAGACCCTCTGCTGTCTTGCAGGGTGAGTTGTTGAGTCCTCTCACAAGACAGCTGTTGCACTAAGACTCTGGACAGAATACATTGGCTACCAGTAACATGGGCCGTTATCAGAAATAGAACTGGCTATTGGGTCTAGCACCAGATCCTGAAGGCAGGGGCCTCAATTGCTGAACCCAAGCTATGAAAACACTACCCCCACCCAAGTCCAGCTGGTCTCTCCGTGGAGAGCCAGGTGGCTTTTAAAAAAGTACATATTTTTATTGAGGGCAGGGACAGGCTAGAAGAGGTCAATGGAGAAAAGGGGGGACATATGCAATACTTTTAACAATAAAGATTTTTTAAAATAGAAAAATAAATATTTATTGATTTCAAAGAGGAAGAGAGAGGGAGAGAAATATGGAAACATCACTGATGAGAGAGAATCATTGATTGGCTACCTCCTGCACTCCCACATTGGGGATCGAGCCCACAACATGGGCATGTACTCTGACTGGGAATTGAACCATGATCTGGTTCATAGGTCGACGCTCAACCACTGAGCAACACTGGCTTGGGCAGGTGGCTTTTTTAAAAAGCCTAATCACGAACTGTTCTACGTTATCTGTGGTCTTTATTAAGTATTTACATCAGTGTAGTAAAGAAACGTTTGCTTCTTGGTTAGCCAAGAAGAAAATCAGGGTTTCATGATCTGCTAATGAATTTATATTTCCCCTGGTTTGTTGGAGCAGAAGTTGTGTCATTGATGACATCTGCTAGGGCCAGAGACAGATTTTGGATGACCTTTTTCAGTTGTGTTATCCCTGCTGTGAGAACTGTGGCTAGAAGAGTGTACATGAAAAGTCGGTGATCCCTCTGGGAGGTTTCCCAGGTAGCCTATGCTTGCGTCTTTTTGGAGGTGTCTTTTCAGGGGAACACGATCCACTGAAGGGTTGGTAATTTTAAACATCTGGAAGTCTCTAACAATCATTTTGAATGCTTATTTTGAGTGTCCTGAGGACTGTGTTTGTCTGCCCTCAGCTATAGGGAGGTGGTGGCAAAGGGAGGCATTTCCTGATAGTGGGACAGTGAGTGTGTGGCAGGTGGCTGTAAGTCTGATGGCCACAAAACAAGTAGTATCCAACATCCACCAGGATGGCTATAATAAAAAAGACGGACACCAACAAGTGTTGGTGATGATGGGGAGAAATGAGAACCCTCATTTGCCGTGGGTGGGAATGTAAAATAATGCATTGCTGTGGAAAACAGTCTGGCAGTTCTACAAAGTGTTAATATACAGGAGAGTTAGTTACCTTATGATGCAGCAATTCCACTCCTAGGTAGAGATACAAAATAACTGAAAACTTGTACTCAAACAAAAACTTGTATACTACTGTCCATAGCAGCATTGTTCACAATAGTTAAAAGGTAGAATTGTCCTAAATATCCATCAGTGGATGAATGGATATGCAAACTGGTCTATCCCTACAATAGAATATTATCTATAATAATAAAAGGGTAATATGCTAATTAGACCGGACATCCTTCTGGATGACCTTCCGGATAAAGCCGGAAGCCCGGGTGAGGGAAGCCCGGATTCCAGGTGCCAGAGGGAAGCTGATGCTGGCAGTCAGGGGAAGGAAGGCCTACTCTTGCACGAATTTTGTGCATCAGACCTCTAGTTCAGTTGTAAAAGGATATGAAGTGCTGACACATGCTACAACCTGGATGAACTTTGAAAACATTGTGCTAAATAAAAGAAACCAGTTACAAAAGGTCACATATTCAGTCATGTGAAATGTCCAGACAAATCCATAGCAACAGAAAACACATCAGTGATTGCCAGGGGCTGGCAGTTGGGGAAATGAAATGACTGCTAAAGAATGCAGCATTTCTTTTCAGGATGAAAATGTTTGTAATTAGATTGTAGTGACGATTGCACAGCTCTGTGAATATAATAAAAGTTACTGAATTGTATACTTTATTTTTTAATATATATTTTTTATTGATTTCAGAGAGGAAGGGAGAGTGAGAGAGAGATAGAAACACCAATGATGAGAGAGAATCATCAATTGGTTGCCTCCTGCACAGCCCCTACTGAGGATTAAGCCTGCAATCCAGGCATGTGCTCTTGGGACCCTTCAGTCCACAGGCCGACGCTTAAGCCACTAAAACAAGCGGACCGAGGCTGAATTATATATTTTAAATGGGTGAATTGTATGGTATGTGAATTATCTCTATATATAAAAGCCTAAGTGACCATTCAACTGTTCAGCCGGTCACTACGATGCACACTGACCACTAGGGGACAGAAGCTTCAACCAGTAGGTTAGCTTGCTGCTCAGGTCAGGCCAATGAGGACTGGGAAAGACAGGACAGATACACCCTAGAGCCCTCCTGTGGTCCCTCTCTGGCCCTGATCAGGCACTGGTGGGGTCCTGGATTGTGAGAGGCACAGGCCAGGGGGCCGAGGGACCCTACCAGTGCACGAACCTGTGCACCAGGCCTCTAGTATCTCAATAAAGCTGTCACAAAAAGAAGTAGTATCTAAGTAGGGCCCAGACAGAACTGAGAATGTATACATTTATCACAATAGGAGTGAGTCTCTTTTTTCCTCTCAAGGTGGGTAAATTCCTTCAGTGGAATTAGCAGTTATGAAGAGTGTCTGAAGAGAACAAACTGAGTATTGTAGCACTGAGAGTCTCAGCATCCGTTTCTGTCATTCCGAATAAGTAGGTTTTGCAGATAAAGTAGTAAAGGCCTCAGCAGAAGCATTTGTTGACGTTAGGTCAAGAACCTGTTAGTAATAAACAACATTCCTGCAAAGGTCCCTAAATTAAATTCAGATGAGTCTCCTGAGCTCCTCCCTTGGCCATGATCACTGGCAAGACTAGGATACTGGGTCAAGTGTGGGAAAGAAGTCTTTGGGTCCACACGGGCCTGGCACTTTAATGGAGCATTTCTATAGCCTCCCCCCGCCGACCCCCCCCCACACACACACACACTGCTTCCTGGCAACTCCACATGGAAGGTTTTATTTCCCATTTAGCAGGCAGGGAAGCTGAGATTCAAAGAGGTTAAGTAATTTATACATGGTCATACAGTTGCTGAGAAAGTCATGTGCATGAACCTAGAGTGGACAGGCATCCACTGTTTCTTCTGTGGGGAAGCCAACTCAACCCCTGGGGTGCTCATGCTGTGTGCTGTGTATAAACAGTGTGTACTATATGCCAAGAATTTGGGGGTGGCCCAGGAGTTGGGGGGCTCCTGGGGTTGAGTCAGAGCTTTCTTTGCAGGCTTCCCTAGGAGACCAGGACCAGCAGGCTGCCATTTTCTTGCCTGAAAATTGACAAAAGCAGGGCCTGAATATATTGCAGCCCAGGCAGCCTTCAAGTTCTGCGGCAGCTGATTCATGGCCATGTCCTTAAGGCTTTAGAGCATTGGGGTCTTGATGAGTCCCAGCTCAAGGAGGAGCACAGCAGAGTTCAGGAGGTCACTCATGTCTCTGGGAGTTGGGGGGGGGGCAGGGACATGCAGAATTCAGACCTGACGAAAGCCACTACGTCACGCACTTTTCACCTTCCTGCTCCAGAAATGAACACCTGTGTGGCCTTTGGCCACTGTCCCACAACCAGCAGCTCTTCAGGTTCTGTTCCTGAAACCTGGGCTTTCCTAACTCCGAGGAACTTTCCTGTTCTGATTCTAGAGACTTCTGAGGAGCGAGCTGCCTCTCTGTCACCTTCCCGGCATGCTTCTTGGAAAGGATCATTGGGTCTTACGTAAATAATCAAGGGGCTTGAATTAAAAGAAACAGCTGTTTGTTCAAACATTCATCAACTATTAACTGAGTACCTCCTCTGCTGCACTCCAGACCCTCGGAAGCACGCCCACTGCCATGTTCTTTGGTATCCTAGCAACCAAAAACTCTCATCTGAGCTCTGGCCAGGACAGAGGCCATTTTCCCCCTGACTGCCGTGACTTACAGCCTCTCCAGATCTCTGAGCATTTGTTTGTGCAGCTCGTGGTCCACTGAAGGCCACCACTCGTCCCCATGGATGCCCCAAACCCCAGCTCGACTGACCTTCCTGACAACATGAGCTTCTCGCTCTCGTTCTCTGAGCTGGTCAACATTGCCATCCCGCAGTACGGTGTGGTGAACTTCAAGGCCCTGCACCTGGTGCTCCATGGCATCCTGGAGCACATCAACATGGCTGAGCTCAAGAAGGTCCTCTCAGGAGATGAGGAATTCCTCCAGACCTCACAGAACATGTTAATGCCCCGGGAAGGAGATGGTCAGCCCACCGTCCAGCCCCTGAAGAGGCTGAGCAATGTCTTCGACCACGTGGTGAGCCGTATCGAGAGGTTAGAGAGCCAGCTGAGCATGCTGCATGAAATGCCTTCCACCTCCATGCTGCTGGAGGGCAGCCAAGGGACCAACCGGCCTGCCCAGGAACTGTGGCAGCTGATAAAGCTCCGGAAGATGGTGGAGGGCAATGAAGAAGCCTTAGAAAAGGTAACCCACCTGGGCTCCTCCCAGGCATCACACCTCCTATTCCCTGTGTCCTCTTGTGATAGGTCCTCCCCATTTCGGAGTGAGGCAGAACCAAAGTTCCAAGCTTGCATTCATCGTCAAGTACTGAGAAAAGAAGCCAGACACAAAGATCACATATTGTATGATTCCAATTGTATGAAATGTCCAGAATAGGCACACGCATAGCGACAGAAAGCAGATTGGTGGTTGCCACGGCTGTATAGAGAGGGGAATGAGGAGTGACTGCTTATTCGTTACAGGATCTCCTTTTGGGGTGATGGATATGTTCTGGCACTAGATGCCGTATTGTGAATGCACAAAATGCCACTGAATTATTCTCTTTAATGTAGTTTATTTTATGGTATATGAATCTCAATAAAAAATAATTGAGGACCTCCCATGAAGGAAGCATCATGGTAGTCATGGTGAATAGGAGTTCATGTTCTAGCAAGGGTGACAGACAGAAAGCAACTGAATAAAAATCTACAGGAACTAGCCCTGTGAAAAGTGGGAAGAAGTATTATCCAGCTTTATATGTGAGAAACTGACACTCAGAAATGTTCATTGATTTGCTGATGGTACTGCAGCAAGTGACAGCGGAGCAGGGAAGGCGCTGAGGCCTCTGACCCAGGGCCTGCCTTGGACCATGTGCTCTCCTGCCTCCTCATTCAGCACATGGTTATCCATCAAAGCCTATAGTCCTGGAGAAGACTTTGCATCTTGGGGCATAAGTACCTTGCCCTCTCTCCTGTCATTTTCCCATTGACAGAAGTGATGTTTGCAAGTGAGCACAGTAGTGCCTGTGGGTCAACCTCCCGGGCACTGAGGACATGGTCTCAGGGGATAGGCGTCAGCAAAGGCCACAAGCCAAGACCACCTGGCCAGAGAGTAAGACAGCATGGCAGGTATGGCGGGCACAGAAAGGAAGGGCTCACTGTTTGCCAGGTAAGCTAGATACCTATCTTTGTTAGCTCCTTTCATCTGGATGGATATACAGGATGGAGAACATCCTGGAGTTCCTAGCTAAACAGAGATTAGCAGTTTGTTAGCAAAGTCTTCTCCCTGTGAGAACATGCCTGGTATCTGTCAGAGAGGAGAGAGCCAGTCTGGCCAAGGTGGGCTGATGCCAGGCAAGAGAGGCAAATTGACAATATGGATAAACTGTAAGGCATCGTGCTGAGTGGAAGTGGACAGACACAGAGACCACATATTGCATGATTCTGTTTATATAAAACATCTGGACTTAGAGATAGAAAGTGGAATAGTGTTTGCCAGAGGCTGGGGGGTGGGGGCAATGGGAGTGACTGCTGATGGGTCTAGGGTTTCTTTGGGGGTGATGAAAATGTTCTAGATAGAGGTGATGGTCGCAAACCTTGTGAATGTACTAAATGCCATTGAATTGTTTACTTTATTATTATTATGTGTATTTTACTACACACGCACACACACACACACACACACACACACACAACAGAGATTAGCAGAATTAACCTTAAAAAAAAGTTCTACCTATATGCTATCTACAAGAGACACATTTTAACAATCTTTTTATATATTTTAATTTTTATATTTATTTCAGAGAAAAAGGGAAAGGGAGAGAGAGATAGAAACATAAATGATGAGAGAGAATCATTGATAGGCCACCTGCATGCCCCCTACTGAGGATGGAGTCTACAACCCAGGCATGTGTCCTGTCCGGGAATTGAACCGTGACCTCCTAGTTCCGTGGTCAGCAAACTGCGGCTCACGAGCCACATGTGGCTCTTTGGCCCCTTGAGTGTGGCTCTTCCTAAGCCTTAGGCGTACCCTAATTAAGTAAATAACAATTACCTACCTATATAGTTTAAGTTTAAAATTTTGGCTCTCAAAAGAAATTTCAATCGTTGTACTGTTGATATTTGGCTCTGTTGACTAATGAGTTTGCTGACCACTGTCTAGTTCATAGGTCAATGCTCAACCACTAAACCATACTGGCCGGGCAACAAGAAACACACTTTTTTTTTAAAATTAGATCTTTATTGTTCAGATTATTGCATTTGTTCCTCTTTTTTCCCCCATAACTCCCCTCCATCCAGTTCCCCCCCCCCCCTCCCCCCTCCCCCCCCCCCCACTGTCCTCATCCATAGGTGCATGATTTTTGTCCATTCTCTTCCCGCATCCCCCCCCACTGCAAGAATAGTCAGTCCACTCCCTTTCTATGCCCCTGATTCTATTATAATCACCAGTTCATTCTGTTCATCAGGTTATTCACTTGATTTTTAGATTCACTTGTTGATAGTTGTGTATTTGTTGTTCATAATTTGTATCTTTACCTTTTTCTTCTTCTTCCTCTTCTTAAAGGATACCTTTCAGCATTTCATATAATACTGGTTTGATGGTGATGAACTCCTTTAGCTTTTTCTTATCTGTGAAGCTCTTTATCTGAGTTTTGAAATTAGGAAGTTTGAGTCCTCCAACTTTGTTCTTATTCAAAATTGTTTTATGATTCTGAATCCCTTGCATTTGCATATGAATTTAGGATGAAATTGTCGATTTCTGAAAAAAAGAGCCAACTGGCACCTTGGCTGGTGTGCTCAGTGGTTAGAGTATCACCCTGTGCACCGAAGGGTTGTAGGTTTAATCCCCGTCCCAGTCAGGACACATGCAGGAGGTGACCAATCAATGTGTCTCTCTCACATTGATGTTTCTCACTCTCTCTCTCTCCTCAGTCTTTCCCTCCCTCTCCCTTCCACTCTCTATGGGAATCAATGGAAAAAATATCTGTGTGTGAGGATTAACAACAACAACCAAAGAACCAACTGGCATTTTTATAATATAGGGATGCTATTTGTTCATTTATTTATTTATCAATCAGCTTTATTGGTATGTAATTCACATACCATACAATTCACTCACTTAAAGAGTATACAATCCAGTGGTTTTTAAGAATTGACTATATACAACCGTCACCACAGTCAATTTTAAAATATTTTTATCACCTCAAAAAGAAACCCTGTACCCTTTAGTTATCACCACTCGATTCCTTCAATCTTCACTCCACCCCCAGCCATAAACAACCACTAATCTACTTTCTGTCTCTATAGATTTGCCTGGAAATTTCATATAAATGGAATCATACAATATGTGGTCTTCTGTATTTGGCTTCTTTCACTTGGCATAATGTTTCCAAGGTGCATCCTTATAGCATCAGTACTTCATTCCTTTTTGTGGCTGAATAATAACCTATATTATGAGTATATCATGTTTTGTTTATCCATCTGTGGTTGATTGATATTTGGATTGTTATTATAAATGAAGCTGCTATAAACATTCATGTACAAGTTTATAGACCTATGTTTTTATTTCTCTTGGGTACATCATCTCTAGGAGTGGACTTTCTAGGTCATATAGTAACTCTGTTTAATCTTACGAAGAACTACCACACTGTTTTTTATAACAGCTGCGTCATTTTACATTTCCACCAGCAGTGTGTGAAGATTCCAGTTTCTCCACATCTTTACCAACACTTACTATTATCTGACTTTTAATTCTAACCATCCTAGTGGGAATGAAGTGGTGTCTCTTTATGATTTTGAGTTGCATTTCCCTGCAGGGTGAAAGGTTCTGAGTGGGTCGGGGTCGCGCACCAATGACATGAGGCCGTAATGTATCAGAAGAAATTTTATTTCAAGTGCCTGGGTGCAGACCGGCGGAATCCGAAACTGAGGGGGAGGCAAGACTTTTATCAGCTTCTGCTGGCTGCAGGCAGTCTCTGCTGACACACAGAGCTTGACTGACGCTGCCAGGTGTCTCCTGGTTATTTAGGTCAGCAGTTGCCAACCAGTGGTCCGTGAGGTCCGAAAGGTAGGCTATGCGGAGCTCAATGCTGCAAACTTTCTGCAAGATATCTACTAAGGACAATACGTTTCCTCTGCCCCGTTTTATTCTCTTTTACCCTTTCAATGGGTAATGATATTGATCATCTTTTCATGTATTTATTGGCCATTTGTACATCTTCTTTGGAGAAATGTCTTTTCAGATCTTTGCCTGTTTTTAATTGGATTATATAGAATATTCTAATGTGTTGCTGGATTCAGTTCGCTAATATTTTGTTGAGGATTTTTGCATCCATGTTCTAGTTTTCTTGTTATGCCTTTGTCTGATTTTGGTATCTGGCCTCACAGAATGGGTTTGGAATTTTTCTATTAAAAAAAATTGTGAAGAATTATATTAATTCTCCTTTAACTGTTTGCTAGAAGTCAGTGGTGAAGTAATCTGAGCCCCGGCCTTTCTTTTGTGCTATTTTATTATTATTATTTCAATCTCATCACTTGTTTACGTCTTTTGAAATTATTTCTTCATGCCCTAACCGGTTTGGCTCAGTGGATAGAGTGTCGGCCTGCGGACTGGAGGGTCCCAGGTTTGATTCCGGTCAAAGGTGGGCACATATCCAGTAGTGGGTGTGCAGGAGGCAGTTAATCGATGTTTCTCTCTCATTTGCTGGAAGCCGGTCCATCCTTGCTGCTTGACACAGTCGCTGCAGGGAAGAAACATCTGCACAGCATATGTTTCAAGGGACCCCTATTCCTTTGCAATAGAAATTGACAGGATTGAAATCAACTGGTATATAGATACAGAGGCAGAGCTGCCTCAAACAGATTGTCAAACTGCAGCAGGAAGGCTGGGGAGGTAGTGGGGTAAGAGATCAACCAAAGGACTTGTATGCATGCATATAAGCATAACCAATGGACATAAGACACTGGGGGATAGGGGAGGCTAGGGGACTGTCTAGGGTGGGGGGAAATAATGGACACATATGTAATACCATTTGTAATAAAAAATTTAAAAAAAGAAAAAAGAAATCAACTGGTATAAATACAGATGTAACAAGACAATAAAAGGCAGAACCTGGCTGGAGAACTTAGGGACAGAACCTGGCTGGAGTTCCTCGCTGGAGATCCTAGACAGAACGTGGCTGGAGATCTTGGTTAGAGATCTTGGCTAGGCTGCTGATCAACTGAACGCTGTCTCCATGTCATTCCTTCTTCGCCAACTCCGTCCACACCTTTGGGAACCCCGGGACCTGCTGGGGTTGGACCCCAACACTCATTGATGTTTCTAACTCTCTATCCCTCTCCCTTCCTCTCTGTAAAAAACCAATAAAATATATTTTAAAAAAATTATTTCTTCATGAGTCAGGTTTGGTAGTTTGTCTTTCTAGGAATATGTCCATTTCTTCCAACTTATCTAATTTGTTGCCATACAATTGTTCACAGTATTCCTTTATAATTGTTTTAATTTTTTAAATCCTCACCAGAGGATGTGTTTTTATTGATTTTTTGAGAGAGAGAAAGGGAGAGGAGGGAGTGAGGTAGGGAGGGAAACGTCAATCAGTTCCCTCCTGTAGGCACTGCAACCTAGTAACCCGTGACCCTTCATCGGTGTACTGAACGATGCTCCAACCAACTGAGTCACACCAGCCAGGGCTATAATTGTTTTTATTTCTGTCAGGTCAATAATGATGTTCCCTCTTTTATTTCTGATTCTTGTAATTTAAGTCTCCTTTTTTTTTTCTTGATCAGTCTAGCTAAAGGTTTGCTAATTTCGTTGATCTTTTCAAAGAACAGGCTTTTAGTTTCATTGATTCACTCTGTTATTTTTTATTCTCTAATTCATTAGTTTCCACTCTTATCTTTATTGTTTCACTTTTTACTTGCTTTAGTTTTAGTTTGTTCTGCTTTTCACAGTGTCTCAACGTGGAAGGTTAGGCTATTGATATAAGATCTTTCTTTTCTGTTAATATAGTCATATCCAACTAAAATTTCTCTCTAAGCATAGCTTTAGCTGCATCCCACAGATTTTTGTGTTGTATTTTAATTTTAATTCGTCTCAAAGTGTTTTCTAATTTCCTTTGTGATTTTTTTCTTTGACCCATTAATTATTTAGGAGAATGTTGTTTAATTTCCACATATTTATGAATTTCTAATAGTTTCTTCTGTTATTAGTTTCTAATTTAATTCCACTGTGGTCAGGGAACATGTTTTGTATTATTTCAGTCCTTTTTAAACTTACTGAGACTAGTTCTATGGCCTACCTTATGATCTGTCCTATAGAATATTCTATGTGTGCTTGAGAAGACTGTATTCTGCCATAGTTGAGTGGAGTTTTCTATAGATGTATTATGTCTGATTGGTTTACAGTATTGTTCATATCTTCTATTTCCTTGCTGATCTGTCCAGTTGTTTTTATCTATGATTGGAAATGCAGTGTTGAAGTCTTCAACTCTTCTTGTTGAATTATCTATTTCTCCTTTCAGTTCTGTCACTTTTTGCTTCATGTATTTGGGGCTCCATTGTTGGGTGCATATATTTACTTACTATGTATTCCTGATGGATTGACCTTCTTGTCATTATAAATGTCTCTCTGTCTCTCATAACAATTTTTATCTTAAAGTCTACTTTGTCTGATATTAATATAGTCACTACAGTTCTCTTTTGGATACTGCTTGCATGGTATATCTTTTTATATCCTTTTATTTTCAACCTGTTTGCATATTTGAATCTAAATATGTCTCTTCTAGACACTATGAGTTTGGATCATGTTTTCTTATTCATTAGATCAATCTCTGCCATTCACATTTAATATAATTAATAATGAGATGGATTTCTGGCCCTGGGCAGTATGGGTCAGTTGGTTGGAGCATCATCTTATACAGGTTGTGGGTTCAATCCCCGGTCAGGGCTTATATAGGGCCCATCAATGTTTCTCTCTCACATCAATGTTGTTGTTGTTGTTTTCTCTCTCTCTTCCTTCTCTTCTCATTAAAAAATCAATAAACATATCCTTGGGTGAGGATTAAATTTTTATTTTATTTTAAAAGAAGGACTTCTGTCATTTTGCTATTTTTTATTTCTGTTAGCTGAATGCCTAACTATGCACTAGACTTTTTATATACATGATCACATTTTTATATGCATTTTATGATTGAGAAATCGAAAACTTAGAAAGGTGCAGTAGCAGCTCCAGTCAGTGGTAAAACTCAGCTATGAGCCCAGCATTTCACCATCAGCTTTTGCCTGGAAGTTTCCTCACTGGTCGTCCAGCTTCCCCTGTTGCCCTGGTTACACATGCAGCCAGAAGGACCCTCTAAAAATGTAGACCAGCCCTGGCTGGGTGGCTAAGTCCATTGGAGTGTCGTCTCATGGACCAAAAGGTTGTGGGTTCAATTCCTGATCAGGCACATGCCTAGTTTCGGGTTCAATCCCCAGTTGAGGCATGTCCAGGAGACAACCAACCAATGTTTCTCTCTCACATCAATGTTTCTTTCTCTCTCTCTCCCCTCCCCTCTCTCTCTAAAATCGCTATAAAAATAAAAAACCGATCCTGAGATGAGGATTTAAAAAAAAGCAGAGCCAATCATAACTCCTTTGCTGATCTCCAGTAGCTCCCACCAAAGGGCATGTGGTGCTTCATAGTGAGTGGCTCCTGGTTACTGAATACATTCAAACACAGGGTTGCCTCCTCCCCACCCAGGCTATTTGAGAGCTCAGAGCACTGTTGATTCAACTGTCATTTGTTGGCTTTTGCGTATATTCCAGCAAAGGCCTTGGGATAGCCAAGAGGACTTCTTGGACCATGGCAGTCATCAGAGAACTTCCATACTTTACTTGCCTTCTCCCCCAGCCACACACAACTTCATGTTTTTTTCCTCCTCTCTCCCTCTTCAGGCTATGAAGACCATGCAGGATTTGCTCACCGACATTAATTCACTCAAGACTGACACTGAAACCCTCAGGAAGGATGTGGACATGCTGAAGGACATGTGGAATAAGGTAGACCCTCCCCAGCATCCTCCAAGCTGGCCAGCTGCTCGGACCATTGGTGGTTGGGTGTCAAGATAAATCTAGGAAGCCCATTCTTAGTCAAAGGACACAGCCATCGGGGCGGGAGATGAGGACTGACATGGTCCAGCCACTTGGCCCTTCCACTGAATTCTCTGTGGCTTCCGCCATGCTATGCTCCTCACTATGCTATGCTCTGACACCATTTGTAAGTGACAGAGTCTTAGTTCATTCTGGCTTAGGTAAAATCAGATAATTTATTGTCTCATTTACTAAAAAGTACAGGATGCCTTCAGGTACAGCTAGATCTAGGTGTTCATACCACATCAGTACTTCTCTCTCAGGGATGATTTTCCTCTGGGTTGGCTTCATATTCATGTAGGTAGGTACTCCCTACATCTTGGCTACTCTAGGCTTATTTATGTTCCATTAACTTAGGAGAAAGAGGGCACCTCTTCCTCTTTTAGAAAGCTCTTTTTACCCTGAGACAGAGAATAAACCTAGCACGGCCTACATGCTAGCTCCCTCTATAGCACCAGGACATCAACCCAGGAGTGTTCTAACTCTTTACCATGATGTGAAAAGACATGGAATTTCTGAAGTATGAGCTCATACTTGGGGAGTCAGAACTGGGCTCAGAAGCCAGCTCTCTACACCCCCAGGCTGGTATTGTGGCGGAGGTTTTACAGCTTGCCTCCAAATAATGCGATTGAAGCATCATCTTCAATGCACAGGTCAGTGTATACACTTGATTATCATGGCAACTGTGAGAACTTTAATCTTGGGCGAGGTAGCTCCCATCTGAGCAGAAAGGGCATTGTCATAAAACACTAAAAAGGACCCTTGAACAAATTCATTTGAGAAGCTATGCCCCCTAACCAATCTCTTAGAGATTCTTTTTTTAAAATTCTTTGTTGTTGAAAGTATTACATATGTCTCCTTTTCCCCCCATTGTCCTCTCTTTGCCTGCTTATATGCATGCATACAAGTCCTTTGGTTGATCTCTTACCATCCTCTCCCACTGTACCCTGCCTTCCCTCTGAGATTTGATGGTCTGTTTGATGCTTCTATGTCTCTGTATCTATTTTTGTTCATCAGTTTATGTTGTTCATTATATTCCACAAATGAGTGAGATCATGTAATATTTACCTTTCTCCGACTGGCTTATTTCACTTAGCATATTGCTCTCCAGGTTCATCCATGCTGTTGCAAATAGTAAGAGTTCTTTTTTTATTTTAATATTTTAAAAATTGATTTCAGAGAGGGAAGGGAGAGGGAGAGAGAGAGAAACATCAGTGATGAGAATATTAATTGGCTGCTTCCTGCACTCCTCCTACCAGGGACCAAGGTTTTACATGTACCCTGACCGGGAATTGAACTGTGGCCTCCTGGTTCATAGGTTGATGCTCAACCATTGAGCAATACTGGCTGGGTTTGGAGGTCCTTAATGTTTTTTTGCCCATTAAAAGCTCTGAGAAGTCCTGCAGTACAAAAACCCATTGAGTGCTTTTTTAAGCCCAACATTCCCCAAACTTTTTTGCCCAGGGAACTCTTTTTGACCCCTTTCTCACTCTCTGGGAAACACTTTTTCTTCCTTCTCCAACTCTTAGTTACCTAGTGCTAAGTCCTTGTATTTGAGCAGTGGGAGAAGCAGGGCTGAGACCAGAACTGACACTCCTGATGCATGGGTTTGGCTTATTTGACAGATACACCTGGACCGCATAAACACTTTCTTTGATGACATGAAAGCGCAGAACCGGAAGATAAATGTGCTGCAGCGGGATGTGGTGAGGGACTCGGTCCCATCCTCCCTTGCTGCTCCCCTGACCTCTAGGCCCAAGGGTGCCGTGCATGGGGAGGGGTCAGAAGGGGAGCACAATCTGGAAAGGCCCATTCATTTGCAAGTATAGAGGGCAGTGTGGACAAGGGAGCCACATCCAAGGGTATCACACCCTCCAGGTTCACATCCCTTATTTCCAACCCCTTCCTTCACCTCCCAGACTGCTCTCCAGAACAAGATTAGCACCATCCCCAAAGCTGACGACTTGGTACTCTGGAGTAGCCTCCACGATGCCTTGTTCGCCCCGGTAAGTGAAAGAAGATGGAGGAGGAGGAAGTTGGTGTGAGGGAACAGGCAGGGTGATCGCTGAGCTGGCCTGGTGCAGCCCTGGCCACCCCAGCTCCCTTTTCCACAGGGAGATGTTTCAGAAGAGCTGGAAGATTCTGATATGTGGAAAGTTGCAGAGAAGCTCCCAGAGCCTGAACTTGCCCAGACCACCATGTTCCTCGAAAGTTCTGGTCCCAGCCAGGTCTCAGAGGCCTTCCAACTCCCCAGGCCCTTGGAGACCGTTTGGCATTACCCGGTCCCTGGGCAAGTACAGAAGGAGGAGTCTGCCCATGGAGTTCCTCTCACAGGGGCCCAGGGGTTGGGCCAGTCTCAGGTGCTCGAGCCTGGGCCAGCACCCAAACCTGCGCCAGAGCCTGAGCCCATGCCTGGCCTTGAGCCCATACAACAGCCCAGTCTGGCACCTGGGTTCATATTACCACCTTGGCCTAGGTTCAGACCGAAGACTATGGCCAGACCTGGGCCTGCATATGGACCTGGGCTTGCATTTGGACTTAGACCTGCCCCCGGACCTGGGTTTGTCCCTAGACCTGGGCCTGCCCCTGGACCTGGGCCTATATATGGACCTGGACCTGGGTATGGACCTGGGCCTGCCCCTGGACCAGGGCCTGCCCCTGAACCCATGCCCCCTGGGCCTGCCCCTGGACCTGGGCCTATATATGGACCTGGACCTGGGTATGGACCTGGGTATGGACCTGAGACTCCATATGGACCTGGGCCTATGTATGGACCCGGGCCTATGTATGGACCTGGGCCTGCCCCCGGACCAGGGCCTGCCCCTGAACCCATGCCCCCTGGGCCTGGGCCTGAGTTTGGACCTGGACCTGCTCCTGCCTCCGGGCCTGGGCTTGCCCCAGGCTTTTGGCCCACACCACCAAGATTCTGGCCTATGCTATCAAGAGGTGGGCTTCCTCCAAGAGGCTTGTCTGACGGTAGCAGTTGGCCTTTCTGGGGCTTAGGTCACTTTCAGCCTGGCCCAAGCCAATTGGACTCCCAGGGTTTCAGGGCCCCACCACCAGCCATAGAGCCTGGCTCAGCCTGGCCTCAGACACTGGAGTCACGGGAAGAGATGCAACAGCTCCCATCTCTCTCAGAAGGTACAGAAGAAGATTACTTACAGTACAAGACGGACACTCACGAGGTAGCCCCTGCTGCTCAAACCTCTGAAGAAGAACCCCCTAAGAGTGCCCGGACCGCCCTTCGTCGGATGAAAACTACTGCTGTCATTGCAGCTGCTGCCGCCGCCGCCTATGCAGCTGCCGCGAGCTCAGCAACCCGGGCAGCTGAGGCCTCAGCCCGGGCCGCTGAGTCCTCAGCCCTGGTCGTCCAGGATGCCCCCGCCACTAAACTGGCCTCTGTAGCAACAAGCGTGGCTGCATCTGGACCCTTAGGGATCTTTGCAGATGTTATGGGCGCTGGGTCTTCCCGTGGGGCCATACCCTCCATGTCAATCACTGATGCGGCAGAGATGGGCTATGAAGAGTTTGTCGCTTCTACGTATGCTACTCACTTCATCGCTCCTGACACTGAGCTGTCCCAGGCCACGCTGGTTGCCAGACAGGCAATAACTCCTGAAGACAAGAAGAAGGCCGTCAAGTATTCCATGAGCCACATAGCCCAGATACCCGTTAAACACGACTCCCTGAAAGAAGAGTTTGACCAGCTGTCATCGCACATGAAACATCACATAGCTCATCTAGGTAGGCCCAGACTGGCTCTGAGAAGTGTGGTAAGGGCTTGGGCCCTCCCCAGGGCCTTCGAGCAACACCTCCTCTCCTTTTGCTTAACTGCTCCCAACAAAATCGACATTCAGACACTCGTCATTCATTACTTTGGTGTAAGCATTAGCCTCTTACTAGTCTAGTCTAGTCTTTACAATGAATGTACAGTGAGGTCTTATCTTAGGAGAGAGGGGCAATTATAGGCTTAAGTTGGTGTTTAACACGTTAAGCGCCCAGTCAACAGTGACTGACACTATACTTTCCGTCCGGAAGACAAAACAGGCTGGGCGCGTAACGTGTTAAAGAGGAAAATTGCATGTCAAAATTAGTCTTGAAAATCTCCCTTTCAACAGCCCATAAGACACAGTGTTTTGGTAAGTCCAGATCCCCAGAGTGTCCAGCAACACTGAACAGCCCCAAGATGAAGCAGTCAATTTGGGATTAAGAACAACTGCCTGGTACACATATGGATCCTGAAACACCACAGTCACATTCTAGGTGTCAGTGGGACTAGTACATGTATGCTCCCATTTCATGCCCATGATGGGCATATGCTCAGTGATGACAGAGGGGCACAGTGGCCTACTCTAGCAGTTCTCACCCTTGAGCTCACCTCAACACCCCCTGAGGGGGCGTGGTGAAGCACAGACTGTGGGGCCCACCCCAGAGTTTCTGACGAAGGCGAAGGCGACTGAGGGGAGCACAATCATGTGCATTTCTCACCTTCCTGGGGAAACGCTGCTGGCCTGGGGACCTCCCCTGACACCCATTTCCCCGCCCTCTGTAAATCATTACCTTGTTGTTTTGCTCTCTGCCAAGTACAATAGTTGAATTAATCTAAGTCCAACCCATGTGTGGCACCACCCCAATGCACAGTCCTGTTCACAAATCTTAAAAAGAAAAAGTAGAACCTCACATAGTTACAAAGAACCACATTGATATCAGTGAACACTGGGGCATGGCTAAGGTTCTGAATTTAATTTTAAATGTAAAGCCATCGTAGCCCAAATGCTACCTCTGGCCAGCTGTTATTTTAAGGAAACTATAGTTAGGTTATAAACATGTCTTGGCAGTAACTTTCATACATTCATAGTTCTGTCCTGTACATTCGTTTTTGACCTCTCATCTGGAACTGGAAACAGCGTATCAATTTTTTTATTAACCCCCTCCTCTTTTGTTAAATCTTTCTTTTTATTTTGTGGTGAATAACATACTTCTCAATAAGGTATTTCATAGTTTTGCTCAGGGTCATTTGGGGAGGGGAGTAAATTCCAGAGAGTTTTCCCTAGGCCTGCTCTGATATGATAACCTGGGGACACTTGGAATGGGGCGAGTTCAAGTTCAGATGTGCTCTAAGTGTCAAGTGCACAGTGGACACTGAAAGCTTAGTACAGAAACAAGAATGCAAAATATCTCATTAGTAATTTTTATTACATACTTAAATGATACTATTTAGATATATTGGGTTAAATAAAATATTTTATTAAAATTAATGCACACATTGCCTAGCCGGCATGGCTCAGTGGTTGAGCATTGACCTGTGAACCAGGAGATCACTTCGATTCCTGGACAGGGCACATGCCCAGGTGGTGGGCTTTATCCCCAGTGTGGGGTGAGCAGGAGGCAGCCGATCAATTATTCTCTCTCATCATTGATATTTCTCTCTCTCTTCCTCTCCTTTCCTCTCTGAAATCAATAAAAATGTAAAAACAAAACAAAAAAACCACAAACCAAAACATTATTTAAAAATAAATAAACAAAAAGAAATTAATGCACAATGCACACACAAAACAAATAAAAAAACTATTTATGTCACTTGCATCTTTTTAGATTTTTTAAATGTGACTGCTATCAAAAAAAAATAGAAAAAAAATGTGACTACTAGAAAATTTTAAATGACCTCAAAGGCCCCCACCTCACAGCACATTATTGCTCTGTTGGACAGCACCGCCTCAGACATTTCATAACAGAAGCAGGTGGAAGTCTAAACAAAGCCTCTTTCTCGATCCCTGCTCCCAACGGTCACCCCTCCTTTGCTTTCAGCTCATAGGGGAAGCTCTTCCAAGTTTGGGATGACACTGGACATACTGCAAGAAAAGATTGGCAACCTCCAGAAATCCAGGTTACAGGTCAGTGTCCTGGGCAGAAAGAGCTTTTATTAAGATGACCCATCTGCCAGCTGATGGCATATGACCCAGAACCAGATGGAGCATTTGTCCTCTAGCTGAAAGGAGGCCTGGGGCAGCTTGGGGCTGAGAAGGCAGCTGCAGCCCCTCATACTGCTCCAGCTGGTGCAGGGTCCCAGGCTGTGGGTAAGTGTCCCAGAGTTGTTAAGATGGCAAGTTGCGGGGAGGGAAAGATGGTAGGTTTGCAGGGAGAGGGGTGGGCGGCAGATGGCAGGTTGGAGTTACACTGGTCTGGAACACTCTTCAAGCCCCATCACCCATGGTGGCCTCAGGAGCAGAGGCCTTGAATTCCTGTGTCTCTCCCTTTTAGGAGGAGGAACTTGAGAAAGTTTGGGGCCACCAAATAGCGGCGATGAAGGATCATTACATCGTTCTGGACAGGGCAGTGGAAAAGATCTATAATCGCCTGGAGGAGTTTAAGGTTCGGAGGTCTGGGTGGTCCCAGACGGCCAGCTAAGGGGATAATTATGGGGATATTTAGACCTTCTCCACAGTTTCACAGATGTACCTAAGGCAGGGGAACCAGTGGACATTTTACTGGCATTTTCCTGTGTGTAAATTATACTTCAATTAGAAACAAATCCCGCCCTCTCCCACAAGCACACACACATCTATAATAATAAAAGTGTAATATGCTAATTAGACCAGACATCCTTCCTTCCAGACAAAGCCACAGTGGGTGGGGACCACGGTAGAGGCAGCAGAGGCCCCTGGCTGTGGGTGGGGAAGGGGGGAGCCCACAGTGGCAGGGGGTGGGGCCAAGGCCCTTGGACGAATTTCGTGCATTGGGCCTCTAGAAATAACAGAAGGGCCTAGCCCCGTGGTCGGCAAACTGCGGCTTGAGAGCCACATGCGGCTCTTTGGCCCCTTGAGTGTGGCTCTTCCACAAAATACCACGTGCAGGTGCGCACGTACAGTGCGATTGAAACTTCGTGGCCCATGCGCAGAAGTCGGTTTTTGGCCTGGGCGAGTCTATTTTGAAGAAGTACTGTTGATATTTGGCTCTGTTGACTGATGAGTTTGCCGACCACTGGCCTAGACAGTGTCCCTCTCTTTTTTAAAAAATATATTTTTATTGATTTCAGAGAAGGGAGAGGGAGAGATAGAAACATCAATGATGAGAGAGAATCATTGATCAGCTGCTTCCTGCACACGCCCTACTGAGGACCGAGCCTGCAACCCTGGCATGTGCCTTAACTGGAATCAAACCCGGGACCCTTCAGTCACAGGCTGACACTCTATCCACTCAGCCAAACCAGCTAGGGCAACAGTGTCCCTCTTGTTAACCACTGGGTCACCCACCTCTAGAAGGATGCCTGGCATAGAGTGAAGGCTCAAAATGTGCTGAAAGAATCAAATGATTCAGAGGATTTCTTGCACCGTTACATTCATAACTTTCCCCCTAAGCAAGCTTCTTTCTGACCGAACAGTGCCAAGAGGCCTTTCTGGAACAGTGAGTTGCTGCCATGGAAAGTACGGAAATGATACAGAACCCTTACCAGGGGCTCACTCCACCAGACACATTCTCCATGAGCCTGATGGGTTCTGACTGCTGAGCTGGACCTCAGGACCAGTCCAGTGTGTGACTGGTCCCAGACATTTGGAGAAGTCATTCCCAAAGTCGAAAGAGAAAATATTCCAAACACAACCAGCTGGGGTGGTTTCCATGCAAGCTTCTGATTACCAGTCGGGGCTATTGGTGGGATGCGTTAGGATGCAGGGGGCAAAAGGGAGAGGACCCACACAGGGCAACTCAGAAAAAGAAATCATACACGGGGAGCCAGTTCCCCGCTTAAGTGCAGGTGGGAGGGATAGGTTCTGGACTGTGTGTGGACAGAGGAGACTAGGGTAATAGGATCAGACCTTGTGAATACCCAGATCAGTAACATCAGCTCCTGACAACGCTGGGCCCTCTTTTTGTCACTGCTTCAAAGAGGCCAGATTGCCATGTCCTAAGAATATATCGATGCCCTTCCTCAATGGAGATGAGCCAGTTCATTCAACATGTCTGATGTGTACCCAGCCCTATGCCCTGCCCTGCACGAGGGGAGGAAGGGTCATAGTATCTGTCTTCAAGTAGTCATTGCTCATTGAGAGAAACTCCAGAGGATGAGGCCCAACCAAACAGCACCAGATGGAGCAAGGCAGTCTTTGCCTTGACTACCTTCTTGTCCTGTGTGCCAACAAGAAAAAATTAATTGCTTATAAAAGTTAACCCTTGAAGGACCTGGAAGAGCAGGGCTTAGTATACAACACATATTTCATTAAATATGTCCTACATGAACATGTGCAAGAGATCAGCAGCCCCTGTTGAGCCCTTCCAGTAGAGAAATTAGGGCATGCAGACACATCTGGGATAGGTGTTACTGCTTTACCTGGATGTCTGCGAGAAAGTGTTATGAACATGACAGGTGATGTTATTTATTCATTGAGTCATTCAGCCAATCTTACTGAGCCTTCACTCTGCACCAGGCACCCTTCCAAGGACTGGTGATGCAGCAGTCAACAAGACAGACACCATCTAGGCTCTTCTGTATTTGGTAGTAAACAGTGATATTGATGATTTTAATCAAAGTATAATTTATGCACAGTAAAATGCCCAAGTTTTAAGTATAAGAGGTGAATTAATTTATGCCTATTACACACCCATATCACTACCACCCAATCAAGATACAGCAGGAAAATAAGTGAGAACAGAACTCTTTTTTTTTTTTTTTTTTGACTCTCTGGAAAACATTACTTCCCTTTGCAAGTGGATGTGATGGAGCTTTGCATTAATTAGAATTCAGTTCAACTGCAAATAACATGAACTCCCAGATAACTGACTGAAACAAGGCAACAGAAAAACAAGAAAGTCAGAAATGATTGGTCTAGAGCTGGTCTAGAATTCCATGGTGTGTGACTTCCATTCACAAGGTCACCTCAAGCTCCAAGGTGGCTGCTGGTGCTCTAGACATTAATTCTGCATTTAAGCCAGCAGTGAATAAGACATCTCTCCACTTCTATTTTTACCCCAGTGGTCACACCGAGCTGTAAGGGGGGCTATGAAATGTAGTCATGATTCTGGGAGGTTAGATGCCAGCTAAAAGTTGGAGGTTCTGTTGCTAAGGGTGAGAGGAAGACAAGATAGGAAGGAAGAAGTAGAAGCCTATTTTCTGCTTTGGAGGAAAAGTGACCTCAGCTTCTGGGGACATGGCCCAGTGGGCGTGAGGCTCTTCCCAACCAGGTCAGTGCTGCTGCCTCATAGGAGAGTTCAGTATGTGGGGAGAGGGCAGAAGTAATGGAGAGAGTAGAGTCATGGGAAAGGGAAAGAAGAGTTTTCCTTTGACAATGGGGTACAGTATGTGATATGTAAGTGCTTGGCTGATGAATAGACTGCAGTTCTTACTGGGACCTCATTACAGATCAGAAGAGAGGAACTTGTCCTAAACATCTAAGCAGCCAAAGCATTGGTTTATGTTTTCCTGCCTTAGGTCTGCCTCCCTGTGCAACAAAGTTGCCATGTCTGCCTCCAAGAGGACAACTTTTCCCAAGTCTCACATTTCTTCCCTTCTAATCTGGGCACCAGGCACCCAGGAGCCCAGGCCTTCCCGTGTGCCCACCTTACCTGCTGTCCACCTGGTCTCATGGTCCCTTCTTAGCACCACAGCAAGGGTAGAGGTGAGAGGTGGATATTATCCTCAGGGATTCCAGGGATGGCTGACATGCCCTTTGCTTCTTTTCTTAGATTCTAGAGTCTCAAATAAAAAACCTAGACATGATCAAGGCAGACAAAAGTGAGATGGAGCAGGAGTTAAAAGAGGTGAGTGAGCAGATTCCTCTCCCCCTCCGGCTCCCTCATCCTGAGCCCCAGCTCTCCCACCCAGGGAAATGGAATCATCGAGCCAAGACAAAACCTGGCAGGGTGACTTCAGAGTCTCCCTCCACCTTTATTCACATGGAAAGGCTGGGGACACTTCTCAAAAGTTGTCCCATCAACTCCTATTTTCAGTGCTTCAGGTTAGTGACAATTTGTTATATGAACTTAAAAATCACTCACCCACTCTGTCATAGGAAAACCTTAGCTTAGATCTGATGATTGTCTTTGAGCCAGCATAGACCCCAGGATTGAATTTAAGCCGAGGCTACATATCCAGGGTCCCAAACTTGAAAAAAAAAATAACCAAAATGATCTGATCTCCCCCAGCTTCTCCTGGCTCCCACCCCAGCAGCTCTGCCTGTCTGAGTCCCTTCTCTCTCTAGAAAGCTGACAAGAGCATCCTGGCAGCCAAGGCCAGCCGTGTTGACCTGGAGAGGGTGGAGATGGAGCTGAACGAGATGGTTCAGGGCATACTACTGAGGGTCATGTCCCAGGAGGATGACTGGAAGAAGATGGTGGAGCAGCTCAGCAAGGACGTGGGCAGCAAGGCGAGTTTCCCTGTGTCAGCCATCACGTGTGACGGAACAAATCGCCCTGTACTGTAGCAGTTTAAACCAACGAACATTCAGTTTCTGAAGGTCAAGAATTTGGGAGCTGCTTAGCTGGATGGCTCCGGTTCTCCCATGAAGATGCTGTCCTCTGAAGGTTTGACTGGGGCCAGCGGAGCCGTTTCCAAGATGGCCCCCTCACATGGCTGTGGGCAAGACTCCACACTTCCTCACGACATGAACTCCTTCTTAGGGCTGCTCAAGTGGCCTCACGCCATTGCAGTTGACTTCCCCTAGAATGAGTGACCCAAGGGAGCAAGACAGATGTAGCTTCTGCATTTATCAGCTAGAAATCTGTGAATAGCTTTCCTTCATCAACTTGAGCTGATTACCCTGAAATATGGTTCTTTCAGGAAAGACAGAAAAATGATGAATTGTTTCCTTTAGTGATCACTTTTCAGGACAATATATTGATGGAAATGCCCACATCCAAAACATGGTGGCAATTGAGAGTTTCTATTTTTCTTTTTTTTATTTCTTCTTTGTGAGTGTAACTGTGAATCATGAATTTTTATTATTTAATTCACTCAGTCAATTAAGTTACTATTTATTTTGTCACTCACATGGCCTCATCTTTGGCCTGTGGGCTAGCTTCTGAGTCCTTTGACTTAACCTTCTGTCATCAGATAACTGTCTTGTTTTCTTAAATGACAAGAGTTCACAGGCTTATTATCAACATTCCCTTCCTGTGACCTGAGTCAGCTATATCTCCTATGGAGTCCTGGTTCCTTTTAGTGGGCATTGGTGTTTAGAGACCAGAATCTGGGTACTGGAAGGAACCCTGTAAAAATTCAGAAGTCCCATGTGGAAAACAATCTGGCAGTCTTTTAAAAAGTTAGACATAGAATTACCATACCAGTCAGCATTTCCACTCCTACGTATCTACCCAAAAGAAATGAAAACTTATGTCTATGTACAAACTTGTACAAGAATGTTTATAGCAGCATTATAGTTGCTAAAAAGTGAAAACAACACAAAAGTCCATCAGTGGGTGAATGGATAAACAATATATAGTTTAGCCATAAAATTAAATGTTATTCAGCCATAAAAAGGAATGCTACAACCTGAATAAGCCTTGAAAACAATATGCTCAGGGAAAGAAGCCAGACAAAAAGGCCACAGGTTGTGTGATTCCATTTATGTGAAATGTTCGAAATAGGCGAATCTATAGAGACAGAAAGTAGGTTAGTGGTTACCTACCCCGAGAGATCTGGGGGGAAGTGAGGGGTGACTGCTAATGGGTATGAGGTTTCTTTGGGAGTGATGAAAATGTTCTAAAATTGTTGTGATGATGATTGCACAACTCTGTGAATATATCCAAAGCCATTGAATGTATAATAGTACTTTGCACTCAGTAAATGTGTTGAATGTGTGAATATTAGTTGTCTGGGGACCATTGGGAGGAATGTTTCTCGGGCCTGCAGGCCTGTAGTTGAGCATAGGGTTGGTTTTATCATTTGGAGGCAGGAACTGATGGTGTTTCTTTGCCGTGGCTGCTGGGAAGTTCACTTGGCAGCTCCCCTCTAGCATTAGCGTGCATTGGGAGTATGAACCTTAACCCAAGCTTTGTCAGGTCCCTCTCCTTAACCACCTCACTTTTTTCTGTTTAATCTTGTTAGGCTCGATGTCACTTTGCAGGTTACTGCAAATCCTTTTCTGGCGTGAAGCAGCATGTGAATTGACTAAACACTCTTCTCCCCCCACCCCTCCCCCCCTTTGGTTGTTCCAGCTGAACAGCAAGGATTTGGACAGTCTAAAGAAAGACATAAATGAGGTCTGGCATATAGTCAAGAAGCTGCTCATTGAAGGCCTCCGATTCGACCCTGACAGTGCCGCGGGCTTTAGGAAGTGAGCCCTTCCTGGGGAGGGGTGGAGCTTGTGAAGGCTGGGGGACCCTCTGTCTGGGGAGGGAATGAGAGGGGGATCCCAGGGGATTCTAGAAGCAAGAATTTCAGACCTGTGGACGTGGGGAGAGGGGGCGGTACTTCCCAGCTGGGTGTGGAAAGGGGTTGGGATGAGGCCTGAGAGCACCCAGGCACTCAGAGGTGGCAGCTCTGGCCTTGGCTGGCGGAGGGACTCAGGAGCACATCTGCTCCAAAGCCCTTTTGCCATAAATGAGGAGTTCAGAGAGGGAAGGAGACATTCAAGGGGAGCCTGGGTGGATCTGGGAACAGAGCCAGGTCCCCTACCCCCATCGAGACAGCACACCCAGACCATGAGGCTTCCTGTCCTCAGATCACCCCTCATGCCCCAAATGTCTACTGTGATGGTTAGCTTTCCAGAAGGTCTCTGGTTTTAAAGACCCCCATTATGTTTAGGGCAGGAAGATGCACGACACACACTTTTATCCCCCCTTCTGCCCCAGGAGGCCACAAATGGGGGTCAGCAGGAGCCAGCAACGCCAAACTGAGCAGGGCCAGGCCAGTGGGTGTAGGATATGAGGGTTAGTCCTGGCCCTGAGGCATAGACAGACCTGCAGTCTCCCCAAACACTGCCTGGGAAAGGGGCAGCGCGCAGGCCTGACTGGGGTGCCTCAGCTGATGAATGGATGTCTTCCAGGAAACTGTTTGAGCAGGTGAAATGCATTTCCTGTGACCGGCCGGTGGAGATGATGACTGGCCCGTGAGTATAGTCACCAGGGGGCATCTTTGCCCGCCCTCTCTCTTCTGGACAAACAGAAAGACACACATACACACTCTATGGGCCTGCGGTGTTCTAGAAACATCCTTTATATGCACATCCACATACATGTTTTGTAGACATCATTTCATTTGCTCCCTGTCCCTGGGCAGGCCACCATCATCCCTTCCTTTCTTCATCAGCCCTGTCTGGTGCCCACTGATCCAGGGACTGGGTCAACTCCAAAAGAAAAATAATGGAAGAAAACTATAGGGAAAAGCAAAACTTTGTGGGACTTTTTTGCATGTATTTTTATGGTCTAGTTATTTATTGAGGTGAAATTCACATAACATAAAGTTAACCATTTTAAAGTGAGTGATTCAGTGGCATTTAGTTGATTTACCATAATATGCAACCACCACTTTTAATCCCAAAATATTTTTATTGTCCCAAAAGGAAACCCCAGATCTATTAAGCAGTCACTCCCATTGCCCCCTCCCCATAGTCCCTGACAACCTTGAATTTACTTCTGTCTGTGGGTTTGCCTGTTCTGGACACTTCATAGAAATGGAATCATACAACATGTTGTCTCTCGTGTTTGGCTTCTTCCACCGAGCATTGTTTTTGAGGTCCATCCATATTGTAGCATGTGTCAGCACTTCATTCCTTTTTGTGACTGAATAACAACCCATTGTATGGATAGAACACATATTGTTGATCCATTTATACATTGATGGACATATGGGTTGTTTCCACCTTTTAGCCTTTATGAAAACATGTATTTGTTTGAACACCTGTTTCCAATTCTTTTGGATGTAAACCTGGGAGTGGAAGTGCTGGGTTATATGGTAACTCTATGGTTAACTTTTTGAGGAGCCACCAAATAATACCCATTGGCACTACATGATCTCCCCATGTTAGTCAGGTCCTGGTGACCCTTGAAGCTCATCAACACCCAGTCCAAGTTCATGGAGGGGGCTGTGGAGCTTTATCCAGAATTTTTCTTTCAAACAACGGGTATCTAATTATAGTATTCTTTTTATTTATTTTTTGTTAATCCTCCAACACATGCCCCAGCATGGGCCATGGATCAAGCCTGCAACCCAGGTACATGCCCTTGACTGGAATTGAACCTAGGATTCTTCAATCTGTGGGCCAACACTCTATCGACTGAACCACACTGGCTAGGACTATTTTTTTAATTTTTTTTTTTTGTTTGTTAATCCTCATAGGAGGATATTTTTTCCATTAATTTTTAGAGCGAGTGGAAGGGAAGGAGGGGGATGAGAGGAGGGGGGAGAAAAAGAACAACATTGATGTGAGAGAGATACAGCTATTGGTTGCCTCCCACATACACACCGACCAGGGTCGGGCATTGAACATGCAACCCAGGTACGTGTCCTTGACCCAGAACCACACCGAGAAGCTGTGATGCTCAGGCCAACACTCTAACCACTGGGAACACTGGCCAAGGCTGTTTTACTTTATTTTTACTTTTATTGAGGTTGAATACACATAACATAAATTAACCCTTTTAGAGCGAACAGTTCAGTGGCAGTTTGAATATTGACACTGTTGTGCAGCCACCACCTTTAGTTCCAGAATGTTTTCATCACCCCAGAAGGAAACCCCTTACCCATTCACTTGTCACTCCCATTCTCCTCCCCCCGCCCCCTAGGCTCTGGCAACCTCCAGTCTGTTTGGTTTTTACTTTTATAATTGGAACAATTGATTTTTTATGGCTTAGAAAGATTTTCAGGGTTCCCCAGAGCCCTTGTAAGGCAGCCTCATTTCAGGCCAAATTTGAGGGTGGCTTCCGGGAGGAGGTGGGAACTCAGTGCCCTCTGCTGGCCACATATGCCTTCCACCGAGCTCTTGTTCTCCAACAGACATCTCATCACCATCCGCAAAGCCCACCTGCTGTCCACGCTTCGGCCATCTAGTGCCAACAGCTACGAGTACCTGCAGCGGCAACAGATGAGGTGAGTAGACTGGGGGTCTGCCCCACGGAGGTCACTCAGGACCCAGGATCCCTGCAGAAACCTAAACTGTAGTCCCAAGATCCAAAGACTATCCCAAGGCATCGCCGGCCATCTGCAAGGGAAACGCTCAGGACAGTGGCTAGGGCAACAGACAGGCACGTGAGCTGATCACACAGGAAAGGAATGGACATATTTATTGGGCATCTATTACGAGCTGGGAAAGGGTTTCTCATTTGAATCTCATAATCCCCTATGAACTAGGGTGAATATGCCTACTTCCCACTAGAGGATGTGAATGACAATGAGGCTTGTTATGGCTGCGCAGACACTGCACAGAGACATACCTAAGCCCATTAAGCCCTTATACCTGCCCTTGGAGGTGTATTCTGTTATCATCCCATTTCATAGTTGAAGAAATTGAGGCTCAGAGAACTTAAGCAACCTGCCCAAAGGTCACAGGTAGTGAGTGGCAGAGCTGGCACCTAAACCTGAGGGTTTTCACCAGACCCAGCTGGCTCCCTGCATCCCAGCCCCATCCCTCGCCCTCCGGACATCCAGCTTCCTGGTGCTCCCCCGCCCCCGCCCCCACCCCCAGGTGAGGAATAACAGCTAAACAATAACCAGAGCCACACCTGGGAGCCTGTGCCCCTGCCCTCAGTTCTCTTGCCTGATTCCTTCTGGAAAGCAAGAGGCTAAGAGCATGCACTTGGCAGGTCAGATCAGGCCTCTAAGAGTGGCTGAGATCTGGAGGAATGTAGGGCTCGATTTTTTTTCTCTGTCCCCTCTGTGCCTGTCTTTATTTACCCACCAGGCCTCAGGCCTGCCTGGCTGCACCACCCAGAATCAGCTGGAAGAAATTCCAGTCTTCTCTTGCTACTGGCCAGGCCTTCAGGGCCTGTCCTTAGGCTCCTTGGGGGCAGAGGGGTCCCTAGGTGGCTGCTGACCCTCCTGCTCTGCCCCAGGGAGCAGCAGCAGCTCCAGAACCTTGGAGACCAGGACTGGCACGACGGCCCTGGGAATGATGCAAACCTCAAGCTCAAGTCATATAACTTGACAACACTCTATCCCTATGGGGACCCTGATATTTTGGACTATGATACCGTGAGTCAGGTCGTAGCCCGGGTGGTGGGTGACCCCTGGGGAGCCGTGCTCTGCTGGGCCTCTGTGTATACTAGAGGCTCAAAGACACTCCCTTACCTGGGGCCCGGGCCCTCCAACAGGCCGAGGTGGACATCCTGGGAGTGGATGGGATCCTGTACAAGGGCCGAATGGAGAACCAGGAAGGCGCACAGCCACTGACCAGCGCGGAGAAGGGGCTGGCTGGTGAGGGGCGTCAGGCCTTCCGGGGCACCCCTGCCCGGTATCCTGGCTTTGCTGGTCAGCATGAGCAAATGCAGGCAGGGTCCAAGGCTGGCACAATTCCTGACTGGGGCGTCCTCACACAGCCACTTACAAAAATGGGGTCCTACTGTATGCCAGGCACTAAGCCAGGTGCCAGGGAGACACAGGGGAACAAAATAGATGGTTGTGCCCTGGAGTCTCCACATGAGTAGGAGAAGCAGACCATAAGCAGATAAGCAAAGGTGAGGAAGAACAGCTGGCCTGAAGGGATGGCCCTGGTCCTAGGACAGTTGTGACAAAGTGTGCAGGTTTGGGGAAGGATGCTGATGGCCCATCCAAAGATGGGATGCTGGGCTGGTGATGGGAGAATTGTAAGAAGGCACACTGGTCCAGGGAGAGGGACTGGATGCTGTCCTGAGGCCTGTGAAGAGAGACTAGGGTTTTACTGGATGAAGGGGTCAAGTGGGAGGAGAGCAGTCCAGGTGGAAGAAATAGCAGGTGCAAAGGCCCTGGGGAAGCCAGGCATAGTCAGGCGCTCAGAAAGGTGAGTCCACCTGAGGTGCAGAGATTGGAGTGTGGTGAAGAGGATGTGGACAGACTCTGGAGGCCAGTGTTCTAATGTCAAGGATGGGCTAGGCTTGGGCTGGGGGAGAATCTGTCACACTTGTGGAACCAATGCTCTGGTTGCTGCAGTATTGAGGCCCTGGCTCCAACTGGCTTCTCCCAGGGACTCCACCATTTAGCTTCAGCACTAGGCCAGCAATACCCAAGGAGTGCCTTCTCTTACTGGGCTTGTGACCGCATCTCCCCAGTCCCTGCCTCCATCTTTGCGTGGCCTTCTCTCTGTTATTCTCCTCTTCTGTTTCTTTTAAGGACACATGTCATTGGATTTAAAGCCCAGCTTAACCTAGGATGCTCTCATCTCAAGATCCTTCACTTAATTACATCCGCAAAGACTTTTTCTCCAAATAAGGTTACATTCACAGGTCTTTTGAGGGCCACCACTCAACCTATTAAAGGCCCTTCCTCTGGTTCACGAGGGCAGGCTACCATCTTAAATCCTATGATGTCCCTCATGGAGCAAGGATGTAGCCTGCAAGATTAACAGCTCTTTTCCAGGTGCCTGGCAGAGGATGCTGTTGGGAGGGGACTCAGGCTGGGCTTCAGGGATCAACAGGCAGGATAATAACAATGGTGGCTAATATACAACTGGGCAGGCATTGCGGGTAAAGGCAGCCTTGGTGGAGGGACCAGGATAACCTTACACACTTGGCCCTCAACCCCACTCACTCACCAGACAACACTCCTCTCCCTCCAGATGAAGGGTATGGCTCATTCATTCTCAAGACCCATAAGCAGCAAAGCAGATGGAATCCTGATACCTCAACTGCTTTATCCGGCTTAAAGGCAACAAAGTCTAACATTAAAGAATAATTAGGATCACCCTGGAGGTGTGCCCAGGTAGTTAGAGCATCGACCTGTGCTCCTAAGGGTCACAGGTTCAATTCCCAGTCAAGGCACATACCTGGGTTGCAGGTTCGATCCCTGGCCTCAGTCAGGGGTCATTCAGATGTTTCTTTCTCTCCCTCTCCTTACCATCCTTCTACTCTCTCTAAAATTCAATGGAAAAAATATCCTTGGGCCCTAGCTGGTTTGGCTCAATGGATAGATAGAGCATCGGCCTTTGGACTGAAAGGTCCCAGGTTCGATTGCGGTCAAGAGCACATGCCTGGGTTGTGGGCTTGATCCCCAGTAGGGGGCATGCAGGAGGCAGCCAATCAATGATTCTCTATCATCATTGATGTCTCTATCTCTCTCCCCCTCTCCCTTCCTCTGAAAACAATAATATATTTAAAAATATATATATCCTTGGGTAAGGATTAACAACAACAACAAAATCAATTAGAAGCATACCTGTGGCCAGGTCTTTTGATCAGTGTGTTCTTAGCACTCATTTACTCAAAAGAACATTTAATCCAAAACAATTATTATTAAACCTCAACTAGTTGGTGTGAGTCCCTCCCTGGTCCAGCCTGGTCACAGATGCATTCATCTCTTCATCCCAACAATTTCCACTGTATCCTGCTGTGCACTCAGCCTTTGTCAGCCCCACGAGGGGTATCCAGCCAGCCTGTGGCCTGCAGCTGCCTGTACTGTGGTCAGGATCTCAGGTCAGAGGAACACCCGATCTCCAGGGAGTGCTGCTCCCAGCAGGAGGGCGGTGGGCATGCTGAGGCTGGTAGTCAGGAGGCTGGACTTTCAGAGAATCTCCATGGAGGGCTAAGCATGGGCAGGCTCAGGTAAGAAGCTATGGCAGGGGCACAGAGGCAGAAGGTAGAACTGAGGAAGTAGGAGACTTGTCTCCAGCCTTCACCTTCCCCACCATCTCTGGGTGAACTGCCTAAAACACACCCCTGGCCAGGCCCCTCCCCAGTTCAGAGGGACTACTTTAATGAATTATCATAAACTGAGTGGCTTAAAACAACATTTTGTTTTAGTTCTTGAGGTCAGAAATCTGGAACGAGTCTTCTGTGCTAAAATCGAGTTGTCAGCAGGGCTGGTTCCTTCTGAGGCTCTGGGGAAGAATCTGTTTCCTTGCTGGTTCTACCTTCTAGAGGCCTCCTCATTCCTTGGCTTGTGGCCCCTTCTTCCATCTTCAGAGGACATCACTCTGACTTTAGCTTCCATTTTCACATCTCCTCCTCTGACTCTGACCCTCCAGCCTCCCTCATAAGGACTCTGTAGTCTAGGACCATCTCCCTGTCTCAAAATTTCTTAATTGAGTCACATCTGTAAAGTCCCCATTGCCACATAAGGTGGTGTATTCATAGATGCGGGGGATTAGGACATGGGCATCTAGGAGGGCACTGTCCTCAGAGTCCAGACTCCTTGGGTGATCTTCAGGGTCCCTTGGCCCCCTTGCCTTATCTGTCCAACCTCGTGGAACTGTTCTCTCGCTCGCTCTCTCAATGAGCCAAGCTGTTCTTGCCTCTGGCCTCTGCCCACACGGTGTGCTCAGCCTGGAAGCCCTGGAGAACCTTTCCTATTTGCCAGGGCCCAGTATTCCTCCCGTCGGGAAGTCTCCTGGCTCAGGCAGAGGTGGGAAAGCTCAGAGAAGAGCCCAGCAGGAGCGGATGTTGGGGTCAGGTGGAGAGTTCGGGTCTGGACATGTGGAGTCCAAGGTTGTGGGGGGCGTCAAGGACAGTGCTGGGTCAGCAGCTGGGCTCCCTGGCCTCGCTGTGTCTCCATTTGGAACCTGTACCCTGGGTCCACACCCCTTACCTTGAAAGGAAGCAATTGGACAGTCTTGCTGGTCGGCTGGTTGGCAGGTCCCATCTCTGACTTGGGGAGGGATACAGGTGCCAACTGGGAATCAGAGTGGGAGCCAGGGAGCGCCCCTCAGCCAGGCATTGGCTCTTGGGCAGAACCCATCAAGCACCCGGGTGGTGGTTCTTAACTCAGGTTCGAGGGACATGACCCAAGCTATGGATCCCAGGGGCTCATGGGCAATGAAGGTGGTGCCAATTGGGTCCTTGAGGTTGTAGGCTCAAGGAATACAAGAGGCTTGGGAGGAAAGGGCATTAACAGAGGAAGAAGGAAAGGAAGGGAGCAGGAAGAGACCCTCAGACAGTGCACAGACTTGATGAGGTCCAGGCCAGCCCACTGGGGAGCTTCTGAGCAGACAGCCCAGCAGATGGCCAGGCCCTGTGCTCCCGTCATTGGTTGGAAGTGCTAACAGACTCCCAGCTGCTAACAGACCCCAGGAACTAACAAACTGTGAGCTGCTGACAGTCCCAAGATGCTAACAGACCCCGGGTACTAACAGACCCTGAGCTGCTAACAGGTGGAGGCTTTTTACCCCTGTGCTTCCTGCAGCTGACCACCAAGTTCTTTCTTCAAGGGGATCCGTGTGGCACCTCCTGCTGCCACATGGCCCAGGTCATTGCTAAGCCTTCAGTGTCAGGTGTGTTTCAGAAGCCGCTGGGGAAACTCAGTGTAACCAAAATAAAGTTACTGCTCCCTTAGAGTTTTTACTCCATGAGGGATGGTGAAATGTAAATGAATAAGTCATAAGTCAATGAGTAAATAAGATGAACACAGGAATGGGGGGAAGAATGACCAGGGAGAGGTCCCTGTGGGGTGGGTGTCTAAAGGACTCTCTGAGAAGGGACATTTGAGGCAGGAATTGTCAGGACATAGCTGTTCAGGCAGAAGGAACAATTGGTGTCCCGCACAGGAAGGAGCTTGGTGCCCCGTAACTCTTGCCTGTGCCCTGCTTGGCTGCCTACTGGACCTCCCCTCTCCTCTTCACCCCTCCATCTTCGCTCTCATGGCCTCTTCTAGTGCACATTCCCGTCCTCTTCTGCAGCGGCCTTTGGTCTGGATTCTGAATGGCCAGTCATAGTGGTTCTTGGGTTCAAACGTGGATGGAGCCAAACCCAAAAGACCACCTATTGTATAATCACCCTTCTATGAAACGTCCAGCACAGACACATCACAGCAACAGAAGGCAGATTAGCAGTTGCTAGGGGCTGGAGAAGAGGGGAGAAGAGGGAATGATTGCCTCATGGGCATGGGGTTTCCTGTTGGGGTATGAAATGTTCTGGAACCAGATGGAGATGATGCTTGCACAACCTTGTGAATGAACTTAATGCCACCGAATTGTTTCCCTTAAATGGTTAATTTTATGTTATGTGAATTTTACTTAAAAAAATGCACACATGAGATGAAAGGCAGGAAGATGGGGGTGGGGGCACTATGATGGTCTGGCCCTCAGTGGAGTGGGAAGATCTAAAGAACTGCCAGACATCTAACCTGTAAGTAATCCTGCCAACATTTCACTGTATCTTAATGTCTCCTCCCGGGCCTTAAGTTACTTTCAAAAAGCCTTTTTCTGATACCTTAGATTTAAGAAGCTCAAGGTGGGGAGGGATGGTCCTTCCATACACAGATGGGGGGTTGGGGTGGGGGGTCAGGTGT